TACTAAACAATCCGCTATTTTAATGAGAAAGCATCATTTGAAGAATCCATGTGATTGAATTTTTCCTAAGCCTTAAATGCAGTAAACAATGAACCAAAGCGATAAAACACAAATGCACACTCATCGGGAGTGTGTAAGACATTAAAACACGTCTTAATGGGGTTTACGGACCTTGCATTGCGAAGCTGGACACTCAAAAAGGGCACAAACGAAACCTCTCTCAATCGTTTTCACTCTATCTCTTTCTATTTGAAATCTCTCCCAAATCTCTCTCAATGGTTCTTGTAATTTTTTGAAGTCATTCGGGTCATTCCGACCTTTAACCGGGTCAAAAACTGCTTAAAATGGGGTTAGAACGAGTAAAATACCCTAAAAGACTCGAAAACCCTTTAGAGGGCCAAAGCCTCTTAGGGCAGAACCCCTTGGACCAAAAGCAGCAAGAACCAAAAGCTCTTGGTCAGACCCGAAGGCTGCTGAACCGAAACTAGGAGGACCGAACCCGAAGGATGCTCTCAGGACCGAACATCGCAGACCGAACCTCACCGACCGAACCCCCCTTTCGGGCCCGAACCTCGCACAAGCCTGAACCCGAAGTTCCTGTTCATCTCGGTCTATTTCGCTTCTGACGCCTTCGGACCGAACTGCCTCGCTTCTCGCTGGTTCGCCTCTTACTGTTTCGCTTCGTTTCGCCTCTCACCCAGCCTCAGGAGGACCGAACCTCAGCCAGGACCGAGAGGTCTCGTAGATTCAGCCTTCCTTGCCATGGATTTTCACGATTCCGACTTCGTTTGGCTTCGTTTTTCATCGTTTTAACGCGGGATTTTCACCCAAAACTTTATTTTATCAATTAAAGCCCCATAATTTATTAATTCCCAAGTTTTTGGTGCAAATCTTATCCAAGAAATGAGTGGGTGAAGTACAAAGGTTGAGTGTTGACTTTACCTTACCTTATGACACAAGCAACCACCCCCATACCCACTCTATGATCAGCCACACCTCCCCACCTTACCTAGGTCACTTCAATGTCCTTTCCACTCATTTACCATCCCTCCCCATGTTCTTAGAGCTGGAACAACCCATCCTTTCTCGTCACTTCTCTCATTTGCTCTCATTTCACCAAAGATACAACACAACTTTTCTCTCAAACTTTTTCTCTCTATTTCAAGACTCCAAGGATGATCTTCAAGCTTTATTCTCCTCTTGTTAAGTATAATTCATCCTCCTTGTGATTATTGCACTTCATTCTACTCAAATCATTGATTGCTTACACAAACTCCATCACTTTGATGTTAGATTCTCGAAAATCTTTAAGGCATCTTCAAGTGTTCTTGAGTTGATCACTTCCATTTTTCAACAATCATCTACTGAAATCACATAAGGTGAGTTCATACCCCTACATTTTCATATTTTCTTATGTTTTAAGGGGGAGAATACAAGTCAAATCATCAAGAACACAACTAAATATTTCTAACATCTTACATCAGAAAAGTTGGACTCCATTCACAAACTGGTTTGGTCAGCTAAAACATTTTTGTTTTCAAAACTGTACAAGGTGCAAGTAGTGCAAGTTCTTAGCTTTAAAATGACTACTTGCACATCTCCATACAATTTTTCTACAATTTATGGTGATTTTTGAAAAACTGCCTATCATTTCAAGAACCAAACCGGACCATTCTGTGTTTATGGATGTGTTCACTTAAATTGGAGGTCACTAAAAATCATGGAAAGTTTTATGAACAAACTAGACTCGTTAACCAAACTACCAGAATCTACGGATTCTGATTTGGATCTTTTATTAAGTTTTTATAAATTTTCTAATAACAGTGATCGAAGCTGTTACAAACAGAAAAGTGCTAACATATTATTATCACCTTGTATCATGTTGAGCAAGGTGTATATCCTTATGTGAATGTATGTTATTACAAAAGAACGATATTTTATCTTGGTATATGAACATGCAACAGTTAATAAATGGATTTTGATATAGATATACATATAAAATATAAAGGATAACACGGTTGTTATAATCAAAGTACATCCATTTTACTCAAACAATTGAACGAACTACGTTGAATATAGATTACGTATGTTACCATTACTACCCTTATTTTTTGATAAACTATAATAGGTATGGTTTATGATACACTACATAACACACTCATACAAGAATTGTACATTTATACGATAAGGAATTTTTATTACGTTACATGTAAATTCGTTAAGGACTTTGTGAGACATTCGCTTCACACTTACCACTAAGTCCTGTATTGTAACCAGAGTCTCCTGGAGGGAGAGCCTGATAGTTGTATATAGATTTATATTGGGTTTGACAAATCCACACCTTAACTGCATGCAACAGTTAGACCGGCAGGTCTGGGGTGACAAATATCATAAACATTACCGACGCCTGAAGAACGTCGTTTCAGGCCAACTAGGTCATAGCATGATTATAATAAACTCACAGAAAGTATTAGCAAACATAAGAATTTACGGGAATTTCATTTAATTCAAACGCGTTTATGTCGATTTAAACACATATCATTTTCTATTTGTAAGAGAGGTTACTTATACATTTTGGTCCTCAGTTATAAGACTACATTACACAGATTTTAAAGAAAATATCGTATTTTTCTGAAACAAACGTGACATTTACAAGAGAAAGACTTTTATCAAGTTCGAAAACAAAAACTTATGAACTCACCAACCTTTGTGTTGACACTTTTTCAAACAACCTATATTCTCAGGAAACCACTAAACAGGTACCAAAGTGCATTTTGAGGATGAAACGTTAAGGCGTCAACATATCATGTTTTTGTTAACATATTGTAATTGATTTGGAAACATGTAACTCATACACTGATGTAACTCTTTCAATTATATATATATATATATATATATATATATATATATATATATATATATATATATATATATATATATATATATATATATATATATGTTGGTTGTGTTTGCTTAAATTACTATTGCAATTGTGGTTATGATACTATACATGAAGTCCTCCACCCCCGGACGTTTCCGCCATCCTTGGTTTGGGGGTGTGACAGATTTCTAATCATACAACCTATGAAAAGCAACTTATCCTACTCAAAAGGGTCAAAAAGACCCATAATTCAACACTAAAGGAGATCTAAGCTATGGGTTGACAAGATGAGAACTTTTTACCTCAGAAGGTTGCCAAAGATGGATGGAATCCTGGATCCTGATCTTCTTCGACAAGCTTGATAGCTCCAAGCTCTTCCAAGTCTCTTCTATATCACAAAAACACACTCAAAACCTCAATAATCTCTCAACAATGGAACTCATAGCGAATTAGGGTTTTGGGGGAACATGGAGGCTGGTGAGGGAGGCCCAAAGGGGATTAAGTGGCTTAAATAGGGTGCAAAACCTCGAAAATAGGGTTTCCTCCTAGCAGACCTACTCGTCGAGTCCATGCTTGGACTCGCCGAGTAGACTCTTTAAACCCCGCGTCCTTTCTGGCATCCACTCGACGAGTTACGAGTTAGGGCTACCAACTCGTCGAGTAGCTCAAAAATAAATACTTAATAAATTAATTGCATACCAGGAACGGGGCGTTACACTATGCTACCAACCTAGTCATAATCGAAGAAATTTTTCGAATTCTAAACCAAGATACAATGTCATGTGAAGTAGGTACTTTTATTAATTTATGTTTAAATGTGTGCTTAATTTGTATTGTTGTTTAATGCTTATTTAGTAACGTAATGTCATATTTAAATGCTTTTGTAATTTCGTAACAATGTAGTATATTCAATATTAGTGTTTTATTTGAAGGTGTTGATTAGATTTATTTAAAAATATAATTTTCTAAAAATAATACATGAACATATTTTTAAATAAAGTAATCAATGTATAATATATAATAAGAATAATATTCATATATTTATTATTTATGAGTTTTATATTAATGGGATAAGTTATTCAAAATATTAATTAGAATTTAATTATATATTTTTAATAATAGGAGTAAAAACTAAAGTTTTTGTTAATAAAAGCTAACAAGAAATTAATGATGTAAGTTGGAGAATTAATGATGTAAGTTGGAGGAATAAAATCATTAACATATGTTAGAATTCTAAAATTAAGAAACTTAAGATCGGTGGGGCCAAAAGAAAAAATACCCATTTCTACAAAGGAAAAGAAAATTCTGATTTAGTAAAAACTCATCGAAAGCATACCATACCGGTGTAATCAGATTTTGGTTTATCTGATTTAGTTTAGTTTTTAATATAATTTTAAATTGATTGTAATAAAACGAAGATTCAGTTAAATTAGTTTGGTTAACAAGATAAACAAAACAAAATTTTAATTATGATTTTTTTTCTTAAGATAAATAGTTGGTGAAGTAAATCAAAATTACTCGTAATGATTTCATATAGGAAAATCATAGAAAAATCATAATTTTTTAATCATATTAATGAAAAAAAACATCTCTCATTTTTTATTTATGATTAAGCCCAAAAAACGGTAAATAGTACAATACTCATTCTGATAATATTTATTGATTTTTAAGAATTAATTGTAAATAAAAGACCAATGATAACTTTTTTATGTAACCAAATATTAGGAATTTCTCTAAAGATCTCTAAAATAATCCAAAATGTTCTTACACCCCGAGATAACTACTACCAATTTTTGCAATGGCCCGATACGAAATTCACTAGTTGCATGAAATTGGCTTTTTATCAGACCCGAACTATTAAAAGAAATAAAAAAAATGATTTTTTATATACGGTAAAAAAAATCAAAATTATATATATTATTATGAAAATTAAAACGGTTCTTCATAATACAAAATTGTTTATAGTAAAGAAATCATTGGGATATTTTTTAGCAAAATGTTATGCCAACATGACTGGATTTGTCTTTTTCTGTGGATATAATCAATATGATTACGAAAAATAAATTTAACAACCAAAAGTTGATCAAAACACGAAAATATTAATTAACTAACCATAAAGTTATTAAGAATCAACAATTTATTAAATACCAATAACATATAAACGAATGTTCAAATGTACACGCTCAGCTTATTTATTCATATCCTATCATTATCATATTCTTATCAATAAACATATAACTAACATTTACTTTAAACAGATACAGATACAGATACTGATACAAATTCTCTACAAACTATGATCCTACAAGCATTTCGAAAACCCTTTTCATCTCTTGCCTAACATCACCAACCACAGCCGATTTGACACGCCAAGCGATATGATCATCGGGCCTAACCAAAATGGCGCCTCTATGTGTCATTTTACATATATCCCACCACGATGATGAACTTAATGGTGATCTAACCTCAACAACATCTACATAGTTTTCCCATGGTGCTAATGATGTTTTGGTTCTTGCATCTCCATCAACTAAACCGTTTGGCCACATCACACAAACCTTAACTACAATCTTGTGTTCTTTGGCGACTGTTAGTGCAACATGAGCTAGGCGATAAGATGAATCTATTGGCGCGATTATCAGAAGGAACTCCAGTTTGTCTACGGATATAAGATCCAATGTGGAAATTGTCGCCTAAAATAACATTATCGTGTGGATATGTTTTGTTAGATTACACGAATGGTCCCTATGGTTTGGGTAATTTGCACGTTTGGTCCCTAACTTATTTTTTTAACTCGGAAGGTCCCTATTGTTTGTTTTTGTTGCACGCTTGGTCCCTATCTTACATAAAAAGACTATTTTGCCATTGATTTTATAATTTATTTAGATAAACACATTCCAACCTCACTTCCACCTCACCTTACCTTACCTTATCTACCCCATCTTATTTAAATAAACTAAAAAATCAAGGGCAAAATAGTCTTTTTAGGTAAGACAGGGACCAAACGCGCACCAAAAACAAACTGTAGGGAACTTCCGAATTAAAAAAATAAGTTAGGGACCGAACATGCAAATTACCCCAAACCATAGGGACCATCCGTATAATTTACTCTAAATCATGTTTTTACACTATTTGAGGTGCATGTTAAGTTAATTACTCTTTAGCCACCAACTGTTTAAGTACCTCAATTATTAAATTCTACTCAACAGATCACTGAGCATCCTACCTGGCATGTTGTAGGAAATTTTTTTTCACATTGTGTCTACATGGCGCTGACATGGTGTTCACATCGATAACTATATATATATATATATATATATATATATATATATATATATATATAATTTGTAATCAAACTAATCCCAATTAATGTTTAGTGACTAATGAAGTAAAATTAAATGACAAGGGACTTAAATTACCAAAAGGGCAATAGTTGGTGGCCAAATAGTGAAATTAGCAAATTTGTAATAAAATTTAGGACATAATTAAGTAAAAGAGAAACATACCTCTTTTGTTTTGACTTGAGTCAACACCCTAATATTCATATGAGGCAACCTTGAGCCAGAATCTGCTGAAGGAATATACTCCCGCCTACGTCCACCTGGCGGTTCTGGCCCATGTCCACCTACCGATTCAACCTCAGGTACCAGTGCTCCTTCACAGTACCTAAAATGAACTTTGTTTGTCTGAATAAAGTGGTGTATGGATAAATGATGTTTTAAAACCGAGGGCAAATTTGTCAAAAGTTACCTGAAACCTAAATCTTCTGCAGGGAATTGTAATTGAAGGCTTTTTCCTTCTTGAAAAATGCGTTTTACTTTAGAAAGCCTAGAAGATCCAAGAGGATTGTTTTCGTTTAAGATTAAATCTGAGAGCTGTGCGCGACCTAAACTGAAAATTCCATTTAGCAGAGTCTTCTGTAGTGTCGAGGGTAAAATCGTACTTATTGAAGTGTTATTGATAGCTTGATGTACTACAATTTGTTTAAGAAAAAAAAAAAGAGAGAGAGAGAGAGAGAGAGAGAGAGAGAGAGAGAGAGAGTGAATTGAATTGTATGTTTGAGAGTAAAAAAGAATTGAGGTTTGAATTTTGAAGACCTGAATTTGCAATGGTTGGATCGAGACCAAGTGCAGCAGGAACTGCCATTGCTGCTTCAAAATTTTGGATGCTGAGGGCAGTATTGAACAGTGCAATCTGCCACACTCAAAAAAAAAAAAAAATCATGTTTGGCTTCTAGATTTTTGCAAATTGAATATTAGAGAGGGGGGGTGTTTGGTTTATAGAATGTTTTTGGCAGGAAATGGAATGAATTCGATAATAGAAACTGAAGAATATTAAATTTGATTTTACTTTTAATATTTTTTGTTTTTGTAAAAGAATATACCACTGATTCTTTTAATTTCAATGTGTATTAGATATAATGGGGGTATTTTAGATATTTAACAAACAGTTAACCTTCTACTGAAAGTGTGGGTGTAACTGTTAAAAAAAAAAAAGCAAGAAAGTAGAGTACCGGCCTACGCTCCATCTCATAAGTGGAAAGAATAGACATTGGAGCAATACTCTTCATAACTGCACTCAGCTTCCATGCAAGGTTATGAGCATCTTGAATTCCAGTATTCATCCCTGAAATTAATTTAATTAAAATCTTATGAATTCATATATCCACATGTACCAATAGCCATAGCCCACAATCCGATTTACTAAAATAAGAAAACACCAAGCTAGTGTCTGGTTTAGATGGAATTGCACCAGTGGAATGATTCATTCCATTGTTTTGCTTGATTCCTTTTGTTTTTTCAATTTGCATTCCTTAGTTAGGCAAGGGGTTTTTTTCTTCATTCCATCATGTGAAATATAAATCAGGTACACAATACTATATTTCACATGATGCTAATAAAAATTGTGAGATTAACAAGTGTATGGAATAATAGCAAAATAACAGAGAAACAAGCAATAACTTATTCCAAAAACTTTTATACATTAAAAGCGTATCAGATTCAATCTATCCATTTTCCATTAATTTCACGCATTAACAATCTAGAGTTCCCAACAACACGTTTACTTTCCTCAACAATATAACTACATAGCTCATGCTTAGGCTCTGGGCATAACCTTTTTAACTCAATCAATGGATCTTTCACCACATAACAATTATTATAAATTTCCCTTGCAGGCTGTACATGACCCCACCAAAAATCCGATAATGCTATTTTTAACACTTCCCAGTAATCTAAATCCCTATATATCCTAATTAAACTGCTCCCTTTTGGAGTCCACACATAAAAATCCATCCAATCACGATCCAAAACCCCCATCAATCCTTGAGCTTGTGGAATACAATTATATGGAACTTGAGTCCATGGGTAACCCTTTCTCATATCACCCTTATAAAATGGACATTTTATTTCTAACACCCCTCGGTAAGGCAACCCATAAACCTTCTTGTCGATTACCCCATCAGGAGATGCTGCAAGCCAATTCCAATTCCAATTCTGATTCTCCCCGGAATTCAAATTCCAGCTAACATGGAAATCAGGAAAGATAACGGAATTCCCGGTTATACGTATGTATCTTTTGAGTGCTTCCTCTTCTTTGATGTTATTCCAACAAGTGGAGAGGTTTCCTGTGAAGGGTTCAACAACACCTATCTTTTCCAGCCAGAGTTGGACTCTTCTATTGGGCCAAAAGCCAATAGCTTGTGCAAAAGTGCTTGCAGTTAGCTTATACATTCTTTGTTCTTCCCAGTTTTTGAACCTGTGTTTTAGACTGATGGATTCAAGAATCGAGTGACTTGAGGTACATAAAGATTTGGTTGTATGATGCAAATGTGCAACAAGTTGGAGACTTGGAGATTGGAGATGTGATTCATGAAATTTGAAATGCTTACGGCTGTTACCTGAGTTAGAATTATCAAAACCCTTAGTGCAATTTCACTATCAAGACCAATTTTAGAAAAAACTCCACAGAAAAAATGGTTAATTTCATAAAAGACGTAATACTTTTGCACTTTTTTTTTGTTTTAGAATGTGTGATATGAGAAAGGGTTACCCATGGTCTCAAGTTCTTCCATGCAATTGTATTCCACAAGCTCAAGGATTGATGTAGTTTTTGGATCGTGATTGGATGGATTTTTATGTGTGGACTCCAAAAGGGAGCAGTTTAATTAGGATATATAGGGATTTAGAGCATTGGAATGTGTTAAAAATAGCATTATCGGATTTTTGGTGGGGTTATATACAGCTTGCAAGGGAAGATTTATAGTAATTATGTGGTAAAAGATCCATTGATTGAGTTAAAAAGCTTATGCCCACAGTCTAGTCTAAACATGAGCTATGTAGTTATATTGTTGAAGAAAGTAAAATCTTGTTAGGAAGTCTTCTATAGATTGTTGATGCATGAAATTAATGGAAAAAGGATAGACTAATGCACTTTTTGTGTCCCATTTGTAACAAGTTTTTGGAATAAGTTATTACTTGTTCTATGTTATTTTGCTATTATTCTATACACTTGTTGCTCATCTGACAGTTTTCATTAGCATCACATGAAATATATATATATATATATATATATATATATATATATATATATATAATGTACACAATACAACCGAACAAAACCTAAATAAACAAGGATGTTGTGTACATACCAAAACCACCAGCTGGAGGAAAGCGATGAGCGGCATCACCAGCAAGTATTATCCGGTTGCCACAAGCAAGATACTTTTCAGCAACTTCAGCATGCATCACCCATGGCTTTATATCCACCACATTAATGTCTTCCACCTCTCTCCCTACCAATTTCAAGATTAACCCCTTACATGTCTACAACAAGTTCAAAGAAAAATCTCTTTAGATTTAGATTAACATTAGCTGCTACTAAAACTAAAGATTCAAATCATGAAACAACATCTATAATAAGGATTAAGGAAAGAAAAGTACCTCAGATGTGAAGTCCTCAAAACTTTGTTGTGGTGGATAGAACGGTGTCTGTAAGAAAAGTATCAACCGAAATAAATAAATACCATTTTTAGCATTTAGATACTAGAGCAATAAAGTGAGGAAAAGTAAAGAAAGGGGGTTAAAATGTTAAATGCACGAAATATCGATGTATTTTTGCTTTGTTTATTATAGCATCCTACTTTTATTTTTTTTTCCTATTACAACATTGTAGTTTGAAAACTCTATAAAATTATAGCAATGTCATACAAATAAAAGTCCAAAGCCTTGATAAGATAATTCTGAAAGTATAATGCTGTAACAGGAAGAAATGATACTAGGATGATATAATACACAGATAAAGGAAAGTAGATTGCTATGAAAGGAGTCAAATTGGCAAAACCTGCAATACAAATTCTCCTTGCTTCAAGTCATGAGCAACAAGAACTCCAATGGCTCCAGGATTGAAAATAAAAAATAACATCCCAGGTTTCTCATACATCAAATAGTGTCCAAGTTCTTGACTAAGAAAATGAACACTCACAAGCTTTTGCATGTCTTTTTCACCTCTCAATTCTATTCCAACCAGATTTCTCACTGTACTTCCTGCACCATCTGCACCAATTAAGAACTGACATGGGATCTGCTTCTCTGTTTGTTTCCCTTCCTTTAAAAAAGATGTGGTCACATTGATGAAGTTATCAGTTGCATCAATAGATACACAATTGTGTCCCATTAGTATCTCCTTTTCCCTCAAGGGTCTATCATCCAATGACTCATGAGTACAAATACTAAAACCATTTGTTTCTAGTTGTTTCAATAGCAATGCATTCAGTTTGTATTGTGAGAAATGTGCCACAGATACTGGGCTCACACTCTGGTCAAAATCTGCATAAATACAAGAGAATAATTAGTAATCACCATAATAGCAAGTCAATATAATAAGATTATAAGAATGCATCAATGAGATACCTTGAGTTTGCATATGGTCTACTGATCCTATAGTAGAACCAGTCAATGATGTGCAGTATATGAACTTTCTCCAAAGCTCTACAGGTGGTTGACACCTTTGAATCTCCTCTGCTAATCCATCTAATCTGCGAAAAATCTGACAAGTAAATCTAGATCAAATAAGGTAGCCATGTTTAATGATGCTTCAACTTCTTTAACATTTTAACTACCTATTTCACTGGTTGAATAGCATAAAATACAAACCTCCATAGATCTGTTGTTGATAAAATGTGCTTGTGGATGTTTGGAGAAGGTCATGTTTCTTTCCAAAACTGCACACTTGACACCTACAGGAAGATCAAAATCAAGAATGCATGAGGAATGCTGACTCCAGTTTAGAGAAAAAGCAAAGAGTTATAGTATAAATTTGCTATCAACCAGAAAATGATTACTCAAATAACTAAAACTCCATTCAGAGGAATGTGGAGACCTACGTCTACGCGTTCAATAACTTTTTTATGACAATCAGGTCACTGAAGTTCCTCAAAAAGGAAATGTTGCATTTTCAGAGAGCAGCAGCTATGAATTAAACTGTATTCATCAAATATCACGGCTTGAATTTCAAATATCTTAGTACATATCAAACATGTAGTCTCCATTTTCTGGCAAACAATGATCAGCACCATTGACAAACTCAAGAGATGAAGTGAATACTTTCGTAAATCAAATGCTTTTCTAATTACATATACATCTACAAGAATATGTACCAAAAATAGTAATTCAATACATGTACACCACGAAAGAATACCTAATTTGGTAAGAAGAACAGAGAGAACAAGTCCAACGGGACCAGCGCCGATGATCAAAACTGGCAAAATCGAGTCATTCTTCGAGCAATTTGACGATAATTTTCTCTTCTGTATATATTCGCATGAATGCTTTCTATGATTTGCATATTTTATAAGAGAAAATCTATTAAATCTCCTACCTGCAACTCCTAAAACCCCCATTGCATAACAACATACGGAGGGTTTAGAGTTTAGTGAGACCAACCACCCTATATGAGCTCGCTCTATTTGGCTTTGTTTTCCTTTGGCGAAACAACATAAATGGTCCCTCTACTTATAATACTTTGAGTTTAGGGCCTTAACTTTTATTTTATCTCACTTTTGCCATTGTTTAGTATATTTTATGTATATGTATTGTTCAAATAAAAAGATAGATACGGATATAACCTCTATTTGACATGAATGGCAAATGATTAGTTTTAGCAAGCTTCTAAATAATGTTAGGAGTGACGTGGCAACAATTGCCAATGTCAAGTTTAAAGCTTTTACAAGCCGTGACGAGTCAAATCGTTTGTAAAGTGTGATTTAAGGGTTAAGGCAATGTGTATTATATATAAATAATATAATATATATATATATATATATATATATATATATATTCTACTATTATTCATTTTTATATACATATATGACTTAAAGCGGCATTTTACTAGAGTGTAGTGTCAAGTATAAGACTTAGAGTCATGACGAGTTTTTTAGAACCTTGAGTTTTAGTAAGTGTACTGAACAAAACCTTGTTTTTGAGAATATGATTATACAAAGGGGTATCTGGAAAAATATATCAATAATTAACATAAAAAAAACCCCTAATAGTTTAAAGAGAGGTCCAAGTCTTTTTATATAAAGTTCTGGTGTTGAATAATTTCAATCTCTTAATAGTCCAAGAGAAAATAGAGTACCTTAACCCAAAACATCCCTCATAGAAACTATCTGAAATGCTCTTTAAAAATAAATAATTCACATCATTTTGTAAAACAAAATCATTTAAAGAGAACAATTTTGTGGATAATGTCTCAAATGGTCAATTTTTTAACAATTAAAAATCATTTAACTGCAGATGCATATGAGGGTGTATTAAATTAGCCAACAGACAATAGTTTAAAGTAAACATTCATATATTTGTCATAAATTCATAATAATACATATCAAAATACATAGGTTATGCTTGGACAGGTCAATAAGCATTTTCGAGGTAAACTCTTTAGGGTATTGGATTGAAATTTTAAATCACTAATTTTTACTTGGTTTAATTATTTAACTATCTAGTTATTTTTTTTATAATTCTAGTTAAAACTTCTAACCATAAATAACAGGTGTTAGATAATTGTTAAGAAAATTTTGATTTGTTGTTTAGAGGCCATATATCAAACATATTGAATGCTGATCGATTTAGGCGTAACTCATTCCAATCAAAGTTTTTTAAAACCTGCATGTACGTTAAGTTTAGTGATTTAAAGGAAATCGTATTCATTTTGTAGTACAAACTTACGAAGCTAATGTGTGATTGCTAAATTTCCAACTTTGATTTTTTATTGTTTTTATTGATTATGATATTAACAAATTGTTCACTCATATTGTCTTGCTAATGACATATGCTCATTTTAGGATATATGAATACTTTTACTATCAGACAAATTTATGTAGATATAATAGTATCTAATTTTAATTTCATGTCCCTGATTTTTCATAGAAGTTTTGAAATACTATTACTTATTAAATATTAATGTTGCATGTTATAGTTAAAATATACATGTGATTACTTGGCAAGAAGGTATATGGCATTATCCCTGTTTAGATAGTCATGTGTTCTAATCTAAATACCACATGCCTTTGTTTTTTTTCTTCTAAATCTACTATTGCATCAAACAAAAACAAAACACAATGGTAATGACTTATAACAACTCATTTTGTTTGAATGCAATAGTTCAATATAATCATGACTTTAGTAATTGTTATCAAATGGATTCATGTCATATTTTGGCCACCAACTAGTATATGTTTGTTTTTATTAAGTCATCAATATTTTAATTGTATGTGTTAAGTAGTTACTACTTCTATATAACATCTAAGTTGATGAATTTTGTTTACATTATGCCTTCGTGGTGTTGCATGGTCATGGTGTTCATGTGGACTTTATTATTTAATTTTAGTTATATAAAAAGTAAGCATAATTTAACATGTAGATAAAGATAGGTTTACTTTTATTTTAATAGAAAAACAATATCCATCTTCATCTTGATGGATTCTATGCACAACTTCCTCCTAATCCCTCGTTGATAAAATAAATAAATAAATAAATAAAGATAGAGCAAAAACAACTTCATATTTTGGGAAAATATTGTTGCGTTTAGGGATTTATGGTAAAAAAATGTGTGTTCTTAAGTTTTAACATTGTGATAAAATTCAAGTTTCAAATAAAGATGAAGATGGGATGCAAACAAAAAAACCATTCGACGAAAGCAATGTCTTATGCAACAAAACCATTATCGATGGCAAACCATTTACCATTATCTTCGATTATTTTTATAGACACATTTTGTTTATATATCATCACGTATAATTATTTTTGTATGATTTATTAATTTTTCTTAATGGTATATTTTATGTATGTAATTGTTTGATAAAGTTTTTCTAAATTCTATATTGAAACAAAAATATTATTTATTAAAGGCCAAAGAGTATAATACATTGAAGTTAGTCGTCTTTTAAAATTAAGTGCAAGATTGTCAAGATTTATGTGGAATGAAGATATATTAAGGGTCCTCGAATTGAAAGTTGACTCAAGTTGAGGGACCACTTGATCAATATAACTTTCATCAATATAACTTTCTTCCTTGTAGTATAGGCTTACGTGGTCACTAAGCCACCAATTGTGATTATATGGTGGAGTATAGAAACTAAAAAGTTCTCTTACCTCTAACTTAACCTAATAATTTTTTTTCCGGGAAAATTACAAAATTAATCAAATACATTAATTACTTTACAAATTTAGAAAAGAAAAATAGAAATTACAAAAATAACCACTAAATTCGTAGATAGAAAAGTCTCATCTGCGATTTTGGCTTTCCATCTGTGAATGTACAAGTATCTAAATCACAGTTGTGTTTTAGGTACTTGTACATTCGCAGATGGAAAAATCTATCTGCGATTTTTGTTGTTCATCTGCGATTTTCAAGGTGAAAATCTATAAAATGGTTTTTTTTCTTCATTTTTCACTCTTCAATATAGAAAAACTCTCTCTCTCTTGGGAATTTCTTTTGACGATTTCTTGAAGAAAATGAACGATTATTTCAACAATCCCGAAAATATTGTTAGATTTTAACTTTTTTTATGTTTTAATTAACATTTATTTAGTATATATTATTATTATTTTCTTATTAATTGTGTTAGTTAGTGTAAAAAAATAAAATTATATTGTTTGTAATAGGGTAATTTTGTTGTATTTGATAGTTTTAATATTTGTTATTAGTAAAACTTGAAGTTTAAATGTTATTTTGTTAGTGATTGTATGAATGTATAAGTAGAGATTACATAGAGTGTGCATCGGGTAGTTGTACATTTAGTAAAATGGTTAGAATATGCTAATTTTTTAAAGTTATTAGTTAAATAAATTGTTAGAATAATGTTTACAATATTTTTTGATTAGTGGTTTAAGTTGATAAATTGGTATAGCATGGTTAGAATATGTTATATGTCGTTTCTATAGTTGTTGTATAACTTGAAAACTTATATATTCTTATCGTATAATTGTTTTTATAAATTGAAAAATGGTTAAAATAATATTTACAATATGTGTAGAATGGTCGTTTGTATATTTTTCGTATAAGTTGAAATTTTGTATATATTTGTTGGTGAAGTATAAAAAAATTTATAGTATGGTTAGAAAATTTTATAATATGTGTACAATAGTCGCTTGTATATTTGTTGTATAACTTGAAATTTTGTATATATTTGTTATTTTAGTAGAAAAATTTTATAGTATGGTTAGAAAATGTTATTTTATATAATTTTAAAGTTCAAATTGTTTGTATATTTATCGTATAACTTGGAAAATTGTTAATTTAGTTGTCGTTTTAGTTGAAAAGTTGTTTGTTTATATGGTTAGAAAATGTTATTTTATATAATTACAAAGATAAAAATCGTTTATATATTTGTCGTATAACTTGGAAAATTGTTTATATAGTTGTCGTTTAAGTTGAAAAATTGTTATAGTATGTTATTGTTTTTTAACGTAAATATATAAATTATTTATTAAATATTTGTATTTGCATTGTTTTTATTATTTATGTTATTGCATTTAATAATCATATATATTAAAATGAAATAGTTGTTTAGTTTTCTAATATGTTATTGTGTTTTGTGCGGCATGATTATAATAATTTCAATGTGAAAGCTATTGTAAACTTAAAAGGATTGGGATGTAACATATGGGAAATATTTAAAGTATTAGATATTGTCAAACGTGATATATTTAGAGATACGATATTTGGTTACTTGTTGGACGTCCCTCGTTTACAAGGGGACAGATTGTTGTTCCACAAAGTGTTCATTCATCAGATACGGTCGGACGTTGTTTTATCTCCAGATTGAATAAAACGGTTATATTTTAGAATAGGCGATACAAAAATGGTATATAGACCGGAAAAGTTTTGTTTGATAATCGGGTTGAAATTTGGGGAGTATCCAAAAAACATCGGGAAAAAAATGTTAGAAAAAATAGTTAGTAGTAAAAAAAGATGTTTATTGCGTGAGCGGCTATTTCCGAACTACACAAATAGTTCGGTGAAAATCGGTGACCTGAATTTTTTTATTTTAAATCAGTCATTCTTAGAAGTTGACGACGCCGATGCAGTTAGAGTATGTTTGATATACATTTTGTGTGAAAGTTTTTTGGGAAAAACAATAAATGATCGGGTGCCACACTATTGATTTTTTTTTTTTTTTGCTGTGAATTTGGATGTCTGGAACAGATATTTTTTGTTTACTTTGAAAGTTTTATATTATTAATGTTAATTTATATTATAACTAAAAAAATTTTGTTTTGTTAGTTTCGCTTAGGGTAACTATTTATGGGATTTTACGTATGATGACCTTGAGGATACATGGAACAAGATAAATAAATATTTATCACTTCATGAGCATCGTCAAACTTTAAAATACACCGTCTTAGGATTTACGGCTCCAATTAGGGTATAAACATTTACTTATACTTAAATGGTTTTATTGTTATGTTAGTTATTTTAATTTGAACTTTTATTACTATAATTGTAAAAATTGTTGATATGGATATATGAGATGCTTCCGGTTGTTCGTGTCTGTGGATTTGTATTGAGAAAAAATAATCATGTCTCGGATGAAACGATGGAGTGGGACAAAAAAATTAAAATCGGTTGATGTGAACAAGATTTTTTCAAAGATACGGGTTTATAAATATTTTTTTAATATTAATAGAATTCATTATTATACTTTTATATGCATTTTTAATATGTTCAATTTTTTATGAGGGACAACCACCAAGAAAAAAAATGTCACCGAGTGATGATGAAATGACATTTTGTTATTATATTTCATTTCAAGAGCATGTATATGGTGAACGGAAACCGGTTCCATCCCTAGTACTGGACCATTTTAGGAGACAAGACGAATCTTCGTCTAGTATGTCGTCTAGTGGTCGCTCTCATGGTAGAAGGGGGCACAGTGGGAAACCCAACCTAGAGGAGGTGTTGAAACGACTAGATGCACTGGAGCAACATGTGTTTACGAATCGAGAACCTAGAGAGGTGTTTGTTGAATAAGTGAATAATGAAGATCTATGGAATAACATCAGTTTTGAGGAGCCTGCAGTATTCCAAACAAAATTTGATGAACCAGTTACACACTACATTTTTTATTTATTTATTAACATATATGAATA